TACGGAATCTATAGAAACGTACATAAAATGTATACAAAACGTATCCTTTCCGTATACATATTTCTTATAGGGCTGAAGTATTAAAAGGTAAACCTTATACTCAAGCAGCAGATATATACAGTCTTGGCATGATCATGTATTTTATAGCAACTGGAAAACAACCTTTTTCCAATTGTGCACATGATGAGTTTTTAGTATTAAATATATGTAATGGAATTAGACCTGAAATAAACGAGTCAGAAATACCAAAATGTTATGGTGAATTAATGAAAAAGTGTTGGGATTCAAATCCAAATAATAGACCAAGTGCTATTGACTTAAAAAAATCGATTGAACTATTTCATTATGCTGATGATGAGGAAATTAAAAAGCAATTTGAAAAAGCAGAAGAATATAGAAAAGCAAATCTTTTATCTATTGAAAGTAATCAATCAACTACTCATCCAGAAGCTTATTACACATCTCGATTACTTAATACATTTACAAAAAATCTTTATTCAATGGAAGTTATTGACTTCACAAAGTAAGTTAGTTGTGTTTATTTATTTATTTATTTTTTTTAATTAAAAAAATATTTAAAATTTATAAATTATTTAATTTATTTAATAGGTTATAAGTTTAAAACGAAAATAATTAATCAAAAGGAATAAATGAAATCATTGTAAAACCATATTTTATTTTCTTTTTTGATAGTTTTTGTTTAACACTGATTATAAGGTATTTGTAAACTAGGTGAAATCAGTTTAATCAGTTTGTAATTGGACAAATATTTTTATTTCTTTATAAATAGTTTTTTTTTTATATTCAACACTGATTATAGAGTATTTGCAAACCATTTTTACATAAATAAAATCAGTTTGTAATTGAATAATTTATCTTTTAATATTTAAATATTGTTGTAATAATTATCATTAAATTTAAATTTGCCAAAATTAACATGTTAAAACCAACTTGGGTCCAAAACTTCGTTTGCAGAAATTTTTTAAATTGAAACCAAATCTTGATCAAATAACACACTCATTAAATTTAAAGCAAAACTATAGTCAAAACTCAGTTTGGACTTAATTAAAATTTTCAAAATGCAGTTACTGCATATTAACAGTTTATTTTAATCGATTTCATTTTGAAGCTATAAATAAATTTTAAATTTATATTATCGAAATAATATTATCAAAATTTTATCGAAATTTTAATAAATTAATAAATTAGTATTATCAAAATTAAATAAATTAATATTTACACATATTGATATTAAAACTTTATTATCAAAATTTTAAAAATTTAATAAATTGATTAAAAATTTCAAAAATGAAATAAGATTTTGAGTTGAAATAACAAAAAATCTAAAGTTAAATTTCTGATATCGCATGTAAGATTTTGACTTTGTAAAATCTCCATATTATTAAATACTTAAACCTCATATCAAAGACAGTACAACTTCGAAAGAATGTAAATTTCCTTCATTTTCAATGAACACTTCAAATAATGACGTAAAAACTAAGTTTTCTAGCTTATCATTGTATATTCTCGCTATAATATTCAATAGAACAAATTTTACTTGTATCTAAATATTAAATAAAACAAGATTTAGATTCAATGATTACACTTATTTGTGAAATGTCATCATTAAAATTCTTAAAAATTGAGATAGATCATGCCAGTCAATTAGTTAAAACTTTGGGTGATTATTTAAATTTTGTTGAATATTTATTTTTAGATTTTCATATCGATCTATTATCTTTTGAATATTTTACGAAAAATTGTAGAGCAAATTTGAAAAAGTGGATTATTTATATTGAGGGAAAAGAAGATTTAAGATTATTTAAAATATGTAAATAATTATCAAAAAGTTCATAATTCTTTAAAGATATTGGGAATTAATAAAGGTTATATGTGTGAATTTGATTGGACGAATGATGAATTAGAAATTATTAATTCATTAAAGGATCAAAGTATTAACATTTTACCATCTGATGAACTGGATAAATGTTGATAATTTTTTATAGGGTTTTATATTATTATTTATTTGTTATTATTTGATGTGTTATTTTTTTTTAGATTTTTTTCCATATTTTATATAATATCCATAGATTTGAATAAATATCATTATTAATAAAACGAAATTATCTGTTATTTGAATTCCAACCACTTTAATGTTCGTTTAATACTTTATTGATAAATGCTAATATTGCTAACCTTTTTTTAGATGGGATGCATTGTTATTCATGGTAAGTGATTCCGGATTAGGAAATGTGTTCCGTTATTAATTTTGATAATTCTTTGTAAGGATTTAAATTTACGTAAAAATAAAAAGTAATGCAATTGGGCAGTAAACAATATTATACAGTAGTTTAATAAATAATATTTGTCCCAAAGTTTCAAATAATTTACTTTTATTTGATGCCACGCCAAATTTCCATTTTCTGCAGATCCTTTGCTATAAAAATTTAATTGAATAAAAAAAGTATCAAACATTTAACATATGTATTATCTTTTATCTAGTTATTAATAAAATATAAAGAATTTAATATGGATTTTATTTGTTTTGTAAAGTATAAAATTATAGATAATAGTAAATCACGTTGTTGATAGTTTTCTAGTAAATAAATTTTAATAATTTCATTGATAATTTTTTAATAAATAGTAATAACTAATATAAATAACTTTATTAACAAAATAAATACAGTACAAAAATTTATTTTAATAGTAAATACAAATTTTATTAATAAATAAACACGAAGATATTGGAACCGAATCGGATTCAAAAATATGAAGTTTTGTGCAGGACTCCAATCTGAAGACCGTTTAAATTAGGAAATTTATATAGATTTGGAAAATTTATATAATAAATAATTCTTTAATCTCCAATTTCAAAATACAAATACAAATAAAAATATAATAATCTTTTATACTTTAATATTAAGTAATCCGAGTTTAATTACTTTCATCTATAATAAAAGATAGTTTTAATTAAAATTTAATAAATCAAAAAAATCACATACGAGAGTAATTTACCTTTAGAATTAATATCAAGTTTAGTAAAATCGATTTTTAAGGAATCTATAAATATTATTTGTTAGAATTGTAAAAATAATTTAAATTATTATGGAAAACTATATATGTTTACCTGAATATTCTATTCCAAGTAAATCATTATTATTATCGGCATTTTTTTGTTCTGGAAGATTATTAAAATCTAAAAGTCTACTTGTATAAACCGCTTGAGGATGTGTTTTATATGATATAGTACCAGTGGATATCAAAGGTGATGAAAAAGATAACTTTTTATTAATATCATCTGCTTCTTTAACTTGCCCATAAATTACAGAATCCATTTTCTTGTAAGCGATATCTTTCCATAAATCAAAAAATAAATTATTTAATCTAACTGCATTAGGTCGTTTTAAAGGGTCTGCATCCCAACATTGATTAATAATGTCAAAAATTAATTGAGGAATTTTATAATTAGACTTTGGCCTCAACCCCTTACAAATTTTCATTGCTAAGAATTCATCATGAGATATATCATAATAAGGAGGGAAACCTGTACAAATTTCATATGCAATGATTCCAAATCCATAAATATCGCTTTTTTGAGTATATTCTTTTCCTCTTAAAACTTCCGGAGCTACATAAGGTAATACTCCATATATTTTTTTATTATTATTTTGAGAGGATTTGACATTTGCTGGTCGACATAATCCCAAATCAGTGATATAAGCATGTTCTTTAAAATTACTTAATATATTTCCACAATGAAAATCATTATGAATTAATCCTTTTTTATGAATATCACTAAGACCATGTGCAATACTTTGTATACTCCCCAACTTTTGCTCCCAATTCAGTGAAATGAAGTTGTTATTCAAATGTTGTCTTAAGCTACCATTTTTTAATTCCATTACCATCATAAAATTATTTGTTTTTGGATCTTTGGTAATACCAAAACAATCAACTATCCAAATAGAACTATATACTAAAATGTTTGATTCAACCTTTAAAAGAAAATTATAGTTAGTTTAACATTTATAAAGACTAATTTAAATTTAATGAAAATAACTTACTTCTTTTAAGAATTCTGTCGTAATACCTTGTGAGTTATGTAAACACTTTAAAGCAACTTTTGTTTCACCATTCCTTTCCAATTGAGAATTATTTATTGTCCAAGGACCATCTTTCCAACCTGCTTTAAAAGTAGTTCCAAATCCCCCTTTTGCTAAATATTCAACATCTTCAAATTTATCATATTCAATCCACTCTATGATTTGACTTTCACATTCAGCTTTTAATTGTGCTTTTTGAATAAATTCATCAACGACATGATTTCCACTTGTCCAATTTTTGAAATTTTGTTGAAAACGTTTAGAAACACATGGCTGGCACCAATCATAATGAGTATTAATCTGCTTACAATTTTTACATAACCCATTATTTTTATATCGTTTATTTAATTCTTTGTCTATTATTAGTTTATCAATTAACGATTTTTGTTCTTTAGTCAAATGATAACGATCGAACTTTTTTATTTGTTCAAATACGTCATCACTTAGTTTAATTTCATCCATTTTAATTAATAATTTATTAAACAAAAAAAATGTTAATTTGTAAAAATAAAAAAAAAATAGTGGGGAAATCGTTATTTTATGTTTGAATGATTTCAAGATCGGCAACAAATTATATAAAAAAGACAAGTCAAATAACCAATAATTCAATTTTGGCAAATTATTTAAATTTTCCATAATAGGTAAGATCAAATGACAAAATAAATAAATAAATAAATTTATGAATTTTTTTAATTATATAGATTAATCAAAAAATAAAAAATAAAAATAAAAAAAAATAGGATTTTTTTTTTAAAAAAAAAAATTATCAAACTTTATCTAAAATAATAAAAATAACAAACTTTATAATTAATTAGCTAAAAACATTTTGGAATAATAAAATGTTCACAATATACAATAAAAAAAAATTGTTTATAATTATAAAAACTCACGTTGTCTTTAAAGTTAAATTATTTTAAAATTCTCTTTTATTGTGATCGTCCCACTTCAAGAATGATCAACATCAACAAGTTTTGTGCGACATGCGTAATCGGAATTCATACTCCACAAAAATTAACTTAATTTGGCATAATTTGAAATTTAATAACTCACTTTTTCTTTCTTTTTATTTTCTTCGTTTACAATAATGACATGCTCAAAAATATTTTCAGGAGATTTAACCGAATTAACGGATGAAATTATACAATATTTACGGAATGATATTTCAACATTGTATTCATGTATTTTAGTTAATAGATTATGGTGTCGTTTAGCAATTCCATTATTATGGGAAAACACATTTTCAATTAAAAAATTTAAATATTATCATTTCATTGAAATTTATTTACAATATTTAGAAGAAAAAGATAAAGAAAAGTTACAAGATTATGGTATTAATAAAAATTTATCCCCTTTAAATACATTATTCAATTATCTTAGTTTCATTAAATATTTAAATACACAGAATATTATTTCAACTATTAAACTTTGGGTTAGAGATTCATCAACTAGAGAAATTGGAAATCAATCAAATCAACTTACATTACAATCACATCCAAAATATGATCTTTTAAAATTTATATATGAATCATTATTTAAGATATTTATTGAAAGAGAAATAAATTTGAATACTTTTGACATTTTTATCTTTTCAAATGATGATTGTGATTATTTTAATATTGCTTTTAAATTAATTTTACAAAATCAAAGTTTCATTCATAATATCAAAAATTTAAATTTCAACATTTGTCCAACACATATAAATATAACAACAATTATCCCTTATTTAAAATCAATTAATACAATTTCATCACTTAGTTATGAATTTCATGGTTGTCGTTATGATCAATATTTAAATATAATTCATTTACCACATAAATCTAATTACAGAAACTTAAATTATTTATTTACTTCATTCAAAAATTCTAATATTTTGAATACTTTAAAAATAATTACTTTTCGTAATATTAGTTTTAATAACATTTTTGCTTTTAATGAAATATTTGAACAATTAAATGTTTTAGAATCTATTCATATTATTGATTGTTACTCTTTAAATTCTTTTATTGAACGAATTCTTAATATTACCAAACCTTTTAAATTAAAAACTTTATTTATGAATAATGAGTTGCTAGATATTGATTCATTACAATTATTACTACAAAAATCTGGTAATTATTTAGAAAATATTAGTTTTGGGCCATTAATAAATGAATCAAAACAACAATCACTTGAATTAATTATAAGTTATTGTATGAAGATTAAAGTTTTGGAGTTATTCGGATTTGATGATCAAAATATTTATTCATTATTCAATTTTATTGAAAATATTGGTCAAAATCTTAATCATCTTGCAATTCATCAGATAAGTGATTCATCTAATAATTTTGAAATTAGCTTAATTGTATTACAAAATTTAGGACAAATCCTACCTTTTAAATTAGAATATTTAGATTTAAATCTTATAATTGAAAATGCAAATGATTTTAAAATATTTTTAAAAAATTCTCAAAATACTTTTATTAATAGATTATGTATTAAAATTATTATTATTCGTGAAAGCGGGAATGATATTTTACATTATATAAAGGACTATATTATGAGAAAGAAAAGAGTTAAATATTTGGGTTTTAAGGTGAATAATAATGAATTATTCGTCTTAAAAGATGAAGTAAAAGAATTTGAATTATATAATATTAAGGTTCAAATTTATTCTTCTTTAAGTACTGATTTCGTTTATATTTTAAAAAAAAATGTATTAGTAACTAATGTATTCATTATAAAATCATAAATTAAATAAAATTTTTATATATATTTTCCTATTGACGTGACGTGATATTTGATTATGACATAATTTTATTATACTCTAACCGTAGTATAAATTTGTGATTAATGAATACTTCATACTAAATGCATTGACAATGTCAAAAGAAATTTCTCGCATCTCTGCAAGAAATGTTAGCCCTGACTTAGTGATGTTAAATGACATTATCATTTGACTAATTTTCAATGATCTTAAATGTTATTAGTGCTTTAATCGTGTACGGATAAAAACTGCGGTATATCCGAAAAAAAAAAAATACGCAGTTTTTATCCGGATATTAAAATATCGGATAAAAAAAATTCTAAAAAAAATTTTTAAATCATTTAAATTAGTTATTTGTTTAAATTATTATCTACTATTGATTATCATTTATTAAAATAAATCATATAAATCTATCTCGCTAAAATAATATTCGATAATCGGCAGTAATTCGGGCCGTCTGTAATTCTGGCCAGAATTTTGCGAAATTGACATTTAACAACAGTATCCAAGTTAAATGAAATTTAGGATTTTTGTTAATTTTGCCGCCATTATACCTTGACCCAAGTTACTGTCGATCCATGATTTTAAAAAAAATTTGTATTAATAGATAGGTTGAATTGATTAATTTTAAGCTACAAATTAGTATATAAATATAACAAAAATAATTGGTTTTTTTGCCTAACCTTTCATTATTTATAATAATGTATTTATTATCAAAATTTTACACCTCTCAAATTTTCAAAAAATTTGTATAATTTAGGCAAAATTCATGGTGCCGAGTAGTATCATTAAATTAACATAATATTTTTAATAAATTAGGTGATACTTTATAAATTTTTATTTTTATTTTTATTGAACAGTAATAGTTAGCGAATACAAATTTTATAAACATATCAGAAATGAAGAAGTAAAATAAAAAAATGAACTAAACTATCAGAAGAATCTACTTCGACGGTGGGGCAATTAAATACGAAACTATTAAAGATATAACCAACTACACCTAAAAACCATTTCTTTAATTAACCCACTACCTCCCATACAC